CTAATTTATAGCTTTCATATGAAAGCTATAACCTAATTATAGCCTAAGAATATGGGGAGGGGTAGGGGAGCGGAGGGGGTGGGTGGAGGGAGGGTGATTGAAGGGATCACCTCTATGGTTTATCTCACAAGGGTACAGTGAATCTTTCTAAAAATAGAATATAAAGGTCTTAATGCAATAACTAAGAAAATGTCATGAAGGCTAAGTTAACCAGTTTGATGAAAATATTTCAAATCGTATATGAAAACACCACACTGTACCCCATAATTGCATTAATGTACACAGCTATGATTTAATAAAAAAAAAAAAATAGATAGCTTCACCACTGAGCATCATGAAAAAAAAAGAAAGAAATTTTCCATGTCAGCTGGCCCTGAACCCTCGACCTGTAGGTAACATTTGTTTCCTTAAACTCAGGGTCTGTCTTGGTAGAGACAGGGTCATCTGCTCTGGTCCCTCAGATCACATTCTGCAGATCTGGATTCTGGCACTTGATCTGGGGCCTGGATTCTGCATTCTCCACAGACTCCCAAGTGATGCCAATGCTCCCGGTTCAAAGACCACACATTGATTACAAGGATGGGGTAGGATTGGCATAAAAAATAGTCTTTTAAATAACGTCTATTATAATTTGTTGTTGTTGTTGTTTGGAACATGAATTTTAATGTGAGGGCAGACCTAGGAGACAACTGGGGAACAGAGATTAGGGCCAGGCCCAGCTGCATAGGGCCTACAGGGGCATCACTCTACCTTCTTCTGTCATTTCATAAGGCCTAATTTTTTTTGCAAAACCTGAGTAGCAGTCAGAAACCTGCCTAGCAGTCTTGTTGATGGTTTCCTGGGTGGAGCTGGCCAGCTGGTCCATGGCTTTCTGCCCAGTCTCTGCGGCTTGATCCAGCACTTGCTGAACTGTTGCTCCAGCTACTGTCACTGCTTCCTCGGCCATCTCCTCCACCTGTTGCTTCAAATGTTGCAAGCCCTTGTTGGCCATGGCTGCAGGTGGTCTGGACAGTTGTCTAGGACAGTCACAGCAACATTGGATCCTGCCCAGAGTGGCCCTCTTTTGTTTTTAAAAGTTCACTTTGGTCCAAATCTTTATTAGCCTCCAAAGACAAACTTCCTAAATTAATAAGAGTATCTTCTGAGCCATGACTCTATTTCAGGGTTTCTGAATGTTGGCACTACTGACATCTGAGATCAGGTCATTCTTTGTGATGGGGGCTGTCCCAGGCACTGTAGGATTTGAGCAGCATCCTAGTCCCCACCCAGCAGATGACAGTAGCAACCACTCCCTTGTCATGACAACCATATATGTCTCCACCCATTGCCAAATGTCCGCAGTGGTGGGCAAGAGATAGAATCAACCGCAGGAGAGAACCACTGGTTTACCTAGTATTTTTAACAAACCTACCACTATCCTGTTGGCATAAAATTTAACAAATCCTTACACGATGCTTACCAAGTAGTGATAACCCTTCTAAGAACACAGCATTCTTAACTCATTTAATCTTCCAGAAAACTCTATGAGATCCTTTTACTGTCCTAAGGCACAGATTGGCTGAGTGATTTTCCTAAGGCCAAACAGCCAGTAAACTCTGGAGTCAGGATTTGAGTCTGATTTCTCTGGTTCCCGAGCCCTTTTTCTCATGCTTTCTGTCATCCTTTTAGATACGGAACCTAACAGATTACATTTTTTATATGTCTTTAAAGCTGCAACAGATTGTTGACCAATTTGAGATGCTTCTCACCAACAAAACTCTATGGGAAATGGGAAAGAAGCAAGAAGTCTCATCCACAGCTACATCTATCCTCCAGAATATGGAATCAAATATTCTAGCAACTGCTTTGAAAGCCCCGGGGCAAAAAGTCCAGAAGGTCCAAAATAGTACTATGGGTAAGAACCTGGGCCAGAAGGGGGCTCACACCTGTAATGCTAGCTCTCCAGGAGGCCAAGACAAGTGGATTGCTTGAGCTCAGAAGTCTGAGACCAGCCTGAACAAAAGCAAGACCCTGTCTCTACCAAAAGTAGAAAAACTAGCCAGTTGTGGTGGCACATGCCTGTAGTCTCAGCTACTCAGGAGGCTGAGGCAAGAGGACCACTTGAGCCCAGGATTTTGAAGTTGCTGTGAGCTATGACTCCATAGCACTCCACCCAGAGTGACAGAATGATACCAAAAAAGATAATATGGCCTGATACAAACTGGAGACCAGTGTTACCAGCTGGGGTCTGGGTTATTAAAAGTGAATGCACTACATGAGTCAGTTTATATAAAATTCTACAAAATGCAAACTTATCTACAGTGAGAAGGAAGGGAAGAAGGGAGGGATCACAAAGAGGCATGAGAAATTGGGGGGAAATATTGGGAGAAATGTTCCCTACCTTGATTGTGGTGTTGATTGCACTAGCATGTAGCTGATAAAACTCATTAAATTGCTCAGTAAATCTGTTTATTAAAAAGATTTCCTGGTTTCTAATCCCAGGTCTGGAATTTTAACTTAAAAGTAGGTTGGCTGGTTGGTTGGTTAGTTGGTTTGATTGATTCAATGCCTAACATTCTTGGGAAACTGGAATCTGGACAATTCAGTTTGAAATTAAACCATTTTCCAGATTATGTATAGCTCTCATCTCTCCTGATTTTTCCAAGTGCTAACTGTTTGATCTGGGACCTGTGTCCTTACCTCACGGAACTTCAGTTTCCTAATCTATAAAATGGGGATTATAATAATGCATGTAATTCACTTAAAATTAGGGTGGCTATTAACTATATTCATGATTATTCTTTCTACTCTGTAGTATTATAAAATATTATTAAAAGAGTATCATTCTTTATGTGCTATTTTGTTATTTGGTTTTTTTTAACCTTTCAAACATACAGCAAAGAAGACAGAATAAGAACCCTGATAAACCCATCACCCAACTGGAAAATTTCCACCTCATGGCCAGTCTTGTGCCATATACTTTTTAAACTGAATATTTTCTTGTGCTTTATTCTTTATTTTTCCAGCTTTATTAAGAGGGAGCTGAAAATAAAATTGTATATATTTAAGGTATACAATGTAATGACTTAATATGCATATCTTATTGGGCGGTGCCTGTGGCTCAAAAGGGTAAGGCGTAGGCCCCATATACCAGAGGTAGCAGGTTCAAACCAAGCCCCAGCCAAAAAATATATATATGCATATGCTATAAAATGATTGCCACAATCAAGTTAGTTAACACATCCATTACCTCACATGGTTACCTTTTGTTTTCACAAGTTTGTTTCTTGATCACAATTCTTTCATAACTTCATTTTTATTGGAAGCCTGGTTGCCATTATGGGGTGATGTCATCACTTCTTTAATCAGGTATTTCTTGGTGAAAGTCTAGGTAATATCCCATTTTTCACCATTATTATCTATGCTGCTGTGAAGAGTCTTGTATCCAAATCTGGCCTCTCATCCATGATTGTTTTCTGAGACTAAATTGGGTAATAGAATTGTTGTTTCAAAGGCAATGTGCTAAAACTTGATTGCAGATGTTACAGTCTCATCTAACTTCTGAACTTCAGTTTCCTCATCTGTACATGTATAATGATCCTTTACAGGGTTATAGGAGGCAGTTATAAGATGACATAAGGCCAAGAGTGGCAGCTCACACCTGTAATCCCAGCACCCTGGGAAGCCAAGGCAGGAGGATCTCTTGAGACCCAGAGTTCAAGACCAGCCCGGGCAACACAGCAGCACCCTATCTCTATAAAAATAAAAATAAATGACATGTATAAGGCTCTTGTCCAAGTGCCTAGAACATCCTAGACATTTAGTAAATGTGGGATATTCATGTGGCTGTGCACATTGTGGCGAGAGCAGGGATGAGGTCTCACTGTGTTGTCCAGGGTGGACTGGAACTCCTGGACTCCTGCCTCAGCCTCCTAGGACTACAGGCACATGCCACTGCACCTGCCTATTATACGCATTTTTAAAACTTCTTATAATGTTGCTAAGCTTTCCCATTGTTTTTCTTACCAGCTATTGAAACTCGAGTGGTTACAGACAATTGCTCTGAAGAAAAAAAGACATTCCACTTGCACACCCAAATGAACTCAATGGACATCCATTGCAATGACATTGTCCAGGGAAACATACAAGGTATACGTAACAGCAACTTTTATATATTGACTTCATAGGAGTGTTGAGTACATTGGATACTTTTTTTTTCCATTCTTGAGAGGAACAATAAAGCCGGATAGGATAATAATGAGTGAAAGTGGGAAGAGCTATTTATACATGGTTAGAGAAAGTCATTGATTAATGGCTCAGCGCCTGTGGCTCAAGTGGCTAAGGCACCAGCCACATACACCTAAGGTGGCGGGTTCGGATCCAGCCCAGGCCCACCAAACAACAATGATGGCTGCAACCAAAAAATAGCTGGGAGTTGTGGTGGGCGCCTGTGGTCCCAGCTACTTAGGAGGCTGAGACAGGAGACTCACTTGAGCCCAGAAGTTGGAGGTTGCTATGGGCTGTGATGCCACAGCACTCTACCCAGAGGGACAGCTTGAGGCTCTGTCTCAAAAAAAAAAAAAAAAAAAAAAGAAAAAAGAAAGAAAGTCATTGATTAAGTAATAGTTGAGCAGAAACCTAAAGAATGCCAGGCATCAGCCATGCACCATCTGGGGAAAGCACATACTTGAGGTAACAAGAACAGCCAGTACGAAGGCCCTGAGGCACGAACATGCCTGGCATATTCAAGGAACAGCAAAAAGGCCAGTGGGGCTGGAATAAAGTGAAAAAGAGAAAAGGAGCCACTAACCACAGCTCTACCTGCAAGACCAGCCATGGCCCAGATGATAATAAAGCTGCTGCTCCTCCTAGTGGGGGCGCTCAGCACAGGTCACCTGGGGTTAGGACTGAGCTTCTCAACATCTTCATGGACATCAAGCACCACAAGGAAAAGCCAGAGCCTAAGGACGACTTGTGTGATCAGTGCAGTCCCTGGAGGAAGAATGCCTGCTGCTCTGCCAGCACCAGCCAGGAAGCCCACAAGGATGATTCCTACCTGTATGACTTCGGCTGGGACCAGTGGAGTGATGGGGCCTGCCAGCAAACGGCATTTCAGCCAGGATACCTGCCTCTACCAGTGCTCCCCTAAGTCAGGGCCCTGGATTCAGTGGGTGGACCAGAGCTGTTGAAAAGAGCAGGTCCAGAATGTGCTCCTGTGCAAAGAGGACTGTGAGCGCGGTGGGAGGATTGTCACTCCTCCTATACCTGCAAGAACATCCAGCACAAAGGCTGAACTGGACCTCAGGGTTTAACTAGTGCCCAGTGAAAGCTGCCTGCCGCCCCTTCCATCTCTACTTCCCCACACCTGGTGCTCTGTGCAGTGAAATCTGAGGTCATTCTTACAAAGTTTGCAACTATAGATGAGGGAGGGGCCATTGCATCCAGATGTGGTTTGACCCAAACCAGGGCAACCCCAATGAGGAAGTGGCGAGGTTCTATGCTGAAGCCATGAGCGGTCCTGGGCTCTGTGGGGCCTGGGCTTCTCTGCTCAGCCTGGCCCTCATGCTCCTGCTGCTACTCTGCTGACCTCTTTTTGCCCTCAGATATCTGGACATCCCTGCCCTGCTTGGCCCCACAGCTCCCAGCTACTCACTTCCTGTTCTATGGTGGTACTTCTGACAGCCAGTTTGAATAAACCCAACACTCCACATCTGTCTCGAATTAAAAAAAAAAAGAGAGAGAGAAAGAGAAAGAAAGGAGAGAGCAGGAAGATGATGAGAGCAGGTCTTAGGTTCTTCCGAAGTGATAAAATGACCTATTGGGTTTTTTGGTTTGTCTTTTTTTTTTTCCTTTTGAAACAAAGTCATGCTCTGTCATACAGGCTAGAGAGCAGTGGCATCATCATAACTCACTGCAGCCTCCAATTCCTAGGCTCAAGTGATCCTCCTGTCTCAGCCTTGCTACAGCTGAGACTAGAGGCATGCACCACCACACCTCGCCTGGCTAATTTTTCTATTATTAGAATCTTGCTCTTGCTCAGGTTGATCTCAAGCTCTTGGCCTCAAGTGATCCTCCATCCTCAACCTCCCAAAGTGCTAGGATTACAGGCATGAGCCACGGTACCTGGCCCAGTTCTTTTTTTGATAGATACTTGTAGCCATAAGTGGTTAGAAGCAGGGGGGAATTAGCTACACACTCACACCCCTGAGCCAGACTACAATAACAGGAAGTCTCCAAGCATGGCCAACAGAACAAGACTCTGTCTCAAGAGAAAAAAGAAGTAAAAAAAAAAAAAAAAAGGAAGTCTCACACTATATTCTCCAACATACCAGTAATGTGTTAAAAGAACAGTTAATTACCAAGTATGCTCAACACATCCTAATCATAAAACTTGTTCTGTAAATTCAACAAAATCCCAATTTCTGTCCTGCTAAGGACTCAGGCCATATCTCGAATCAAGGATTCCCTTAAGACAAATGCAACAATGCTCCAGCTTTGAGGTTCTGTTACCATTGTATCAGGCAATGGGATCGGGCAACCAGAATCTTTCAAATCAGTTATTCTCAAAGTGTGGTCTCTGAACCAGCAACATCAACATTACCTGGAAACAGATTAGAAATGAAAATTATCAGGCCCCTCTCAGACCAAATGAATTTGACATTTTGAGAGTGAAGTCCAGCACTCTGTGGGTTTGTTTCTTTTATTTATTTATTTTTATTTTTAAGACAGAGTCTCACTATGTTACCCAGGCTAGAGTAGCATGTCATCATAGCACACAGCAACCTCAATCAATCAAGCAAGCAAGCAAGCAATCCTCTTGCCTCAGCCTCCCAAATAACTGGGACTATAGTCACCCACCACAACACCTGGCTAGTTTTTTTATTTTTAGTAGAGATAGAGTCTCGCTCTTGCTCAGGCTTGTCTCGAACTCCTGAGCTTAGGCAATCCACTTGCATTGGCCTCTCAGAGTGCTAGGATTACAGGCATGAGTCATCACACCCAGCTCCAGTGCTTTGTGTTATAACAAACCCTATAGGGTTCATAGGACCTAAGCTCTAGTTGAGAAAGACTCCCCTTAAAAAGTGTAAGAGGCAGATCTACAGGGTGTTCCATAAGTCATATCAGCAAAATATGTACAACAACAACATATTCCTTCCAAAATATGTATAACAACAGGTATCTTGGAACATGTTCACCATGAGTGGGAGAGAACACTTGGGAGGTGGGGTGTAGAAAGAAGTGGCCAACACACAAAGAATATTTTATAAATATTTTGTAAGATTTTATAATGAATATTTTGTAAACAAGGGTACATTTGGCTATAATACCCTATTGGGGTCAAGCTTTGCAGCAAAGTCACGTTCCCATCTAAATGCTCACAGGTGTCAGTGTATGAGAGAGAGCTTCCAGAATAGTTCAACCAATCCACATATTTTAGATCCCATTAATTTCCCTAGCAAAAACCTGTCTCCACATCCATTATCCCTATTAACAAGTTAATTTTGCCACTGAAAACTCACTTCTAAAGAGCTGTATATGTAATTGGCTGAATTAAATAAGAAATCATTAGGTGTTTAGCAGGCCCCCTGGCTGAAGGACTCAACTAGAACTTGAACTTTGCCTTAGAAATGAAAACAATATAACCTAAACATTTGTACCCTCATATCAATCTGAAATTTTTAAAAAAGAAAAAAAAAAGAAATCAGTAAGTCTGACCAATTTGAATGACATGTTGTACATTGTAAGGAGAATCAAAATACATCTTGGCTCTGATCCCTATGTGAGTTTTAAAAGTTTAATATAAATGCAGCTCATACAAATGACCCCCCCAAAAAAACTTATCTAACATTCATTCTGCTGATTATGCTAATTGGAAAAATGTCTGCTGTTGATCAGAGATAAAGATCCCTGAAGTATTCGTGATAGCTGTCTCTCAATGGTAGTGTTTCTGATTCAAGCTCATCAGGCCTAAAACGTGAAGTCTTAATTAAGACAATGGCCTACCCAACATAGCTTAAACTAACACACATAAAAATATACTGTTGGCTGGGCATGGTGGCTCATGCCTACAAGCCCAGAAGTTCAAGGCTTCTGTTGAGCTATAATTGTGTCACAGCATTCCATCCTGGCTAACAGATCAAGATCCTGTCTCTTAAAAAAAAAGAATACACAGCTCTCACAATGTTATTCAAAATAGCCAAAAGGTGGAAACAACCCACATGTCCATCAATGGATGAATGGGTAAACTGAATGTGGTCCACCCATACGGTGGAATATTATTTGACCACGAAAAAGGAATGAGGCACTGATACTCACCACAGCATGGATGAACCTGAAAAACATGATGCCAAAGGAAGGAAGCCAAACACAAAAGGCCATATATTATATGATTACATTTATCTGAGTTGACCCCAATAGACACAGAAAGTAGACTAATGATTTCCAGGGACGTGGGGGGGGGGGTCATGGTTGCTTAATGGGTGTGAGATCTCTTTTGGAGATGATAAAAGTGTTTCAGCACTAGATAAAAGTGATGATGACACTGTGAATATACTCAATGCCACTAATAAAATTCACTTTCATTTATACCTCATTTTATTTTTTGTTTTAGAAACAGGGTCTCCCTGCATGATGCAATGGTACATTTCAAAACTATTAAGAAATGAATATAATTGTGATGGATGTGTTACTTAGTTCAATATAAGCATTTCACATTGTATATCGAAGCAGTACACTGAACCCCATAAATGCATCAACATACAAAGTTATGATTTAATAAAAAATAATAATAAAAAAGAAACAGGGTCTCCCTCTGTCACCCAGGTCAGAGTGTAGTGGCCTGCTGCAACCTCCAACTCCTGGCCTCACACAGCTCTCCTGCCTCAGTTACTGGGACCACAGGTGTGCACTGACTTGCTCAGCTATGACAATGCTTTTAAAGATTCCGTTTTTCCAGCTCGGTGCCTGTGGCTCAAGCAGCTAAGGCACCAGCCACATATACCTGAGCTGGTGGGTTCCAATACAGCCTGGGCCCACCAAACAACAATGATGGCTGCAACCAAAAAATAGCTGGGCATTGTGGTGGGCACCTATAATCCCAGCTACTTGGGAGATGGAGGCAGGAAAATCGCTTGAGCCCAGGAGTTGGAGGTTGCTGTGAGCTGTGATGCCATGGCACTCTACCCAGGGTGACAGCTTGAGGCTCTGTCTCAAAAAAAAAAAAAAAGATCCCATTTTTCCTCATTTGGCAATAAAGATATTTGCACCAAATTGTTCACTGCAGCTCAATTCATAATTGCCAAGCCATGGAAGAAGCCCAAGTGCCCATCGACCCATGAATGGTTTAATAAAATGTGATGTATGTATACCATGGAATACTATGCAGCATTAAAAAAAAATGGAGACTTTACCTCTTTTATGTTTACATGGATAGAGCTGGAAAATATTCTTCTTAGTAAAGTATCTCAGGAATGGGAAAAAAATATCCAATGTACTCAGTACTACTGTGAAACCAATTTACAATCATTCACCCATGCATGTGAAAAATGAAACACAACTATAGCCTAAGGATGAAGGAGGGAAGGGGAGGGAAAAGGACAGGGAGGGGGATGGGTTGATAGAGGGAGGGTTAGTAGGGGGACCACACCTATGGAGCATATTGCAAGTACAAGTTGGAGCTATCAGATGTAGAACACAAATGTCTTAATGCTGTAATTGGGTAAATGAGGTGAAAACTATGTTAATTAGTAAGATGTAAACACTCCAATTTGTACAAATAATCAACACATTGAATCCCATAATGGCATAAATGTATTTATGATCGATGTACAAATGACTTAATAAAAAAATAAAGATTCCATTTTTCCATTTCCTCAGGGCCCAGTGCAGTTGCCTTTGTTTCTTATTCTTCTCTTGGAAATATCATAAATGCATCATTTTTTGAAGAGATGGATGAGAAAGATCGAATTTACCTGAACTCCCAGGTGGTGAGTGCTGCTGTTGGACCCAAGAGGAATGTGTCGCTCTCCAACTTTGTGACTCTGAGTTTCCAGCATGTGAAGGTGGGTCAAAAGTGTACTTTGAACTTGTCAGGTCTCATGGAGGTAGACCAATGCGTACACAGTTTCTATAGGAGGTTCTAGGCCTGCACTGCCCTATGTGGTAGTGAGGAGCACCTGTAACTATTGGGCATTTGAAATGCGCCTGGTTGAATCAAGATTTTGAAGACAGCATTTCCAGATTTACATCTAAAATTCCCAGATTTTGATGGCTTAGTTAGAAGGAAAGAATTAGCCAGATTTAATCACGCCATATTGTACCCTATAAATATATATATATATATATAATTATAATTTGTCAATTAAAAATTAAAATTTAAAGCCAGGTGCAGTGGCTCACACCATGGGAGGCCATGGCAGGAGGACTGTTTGAGGTCAGGAGTTCAAGACTAGCCTGAACAAGAGACCCAATCTCAACTAAAAAATAGAAAAACTAGCCAGGCATTGTGGGCAGGCCTGTAGTCCCAGCTAATCAGGAGGCTAAAGGCAGGAAGAAACCCAGAAGTTTGAGGTTGCTGTGAGCTATGATGACACCACTGCACTCTAGCCCAGGTGACAACAAGACTCTGTCTCAAAGAAACAAAATTAGAATTTGGCCAGGAACAGTGGCTGACACCTGTAATCCCAGTACTTTGGGAAGTCAAAGTGAGAGTATCACTTGAGGCCAGGAGTTCAAAACCAACCTGGTCAACATAGCAAGAGCCATCTATACAAAAAAAAAAAAATTGTTTTTAATTATTAAGTCATGGTAGTACATGCCTATAGTCCCAGCCACTTGGGAGGCATAGGCAGAAGAATCACTTGAGCCCAGAAGATCAAGGTTCAGTCAGCTATGGTTATGTCACTATCTTCCACTCTGGGTAACAGAATGAGACCTTGTCTCCAAAATATAATTAAAATTAAATTTCAAAAAATAAGTAAATAAAAACCAAAAACAAAAGAAAAAAGAGATGTAAAATATCTCATCAATAATTTTTTTTTTTTTTTTTTTTAGAAATGGGGTCTTGCCTTATTGCTCAGGCTGGCTGCAAATTCTTGACCTCAAGACATTCTCCCACCTGAACCTAGGGTACAATTTTGAATATACTGGGTTAAATAAAACATATTATTAAAGCTAATTTGAGCTGTTTCTTTGCCTCTTTTAATATAACTAACAGAAAATTTTAAATTACATATATGGTTCACATATTTCTCTTGGGCAATGGTACCTGAAAGTATTTCAGTTGCAGGTACTTCTTATATTTGCAAAATTTAAGCTGAGACATGATATTTATTTTCACTCAGAAACCTGATATTCATTAGCAGGACTATATAACTCAATTTTAAAAACTGGGTTTGGGGGGATTGGGGGCAGAAGGGGAGACTAAGTAGAGTGCTGTGGTGTCCTAGCTCACAGCAACCTCCTAATCCTGGGTTCAAGCAATTCTCTTGTCTCAGCCTCCCAAGTAGCTGAGACTACAGACACCGCCACTATGCCCAGCTAATTTTTTCTTTTTTAGTAGAGTTGGGGTTTCACTCTTGCTCAGGCTGGTATTGGACTCCTGACCACAAGCGATCCACCTGCCTCAGCACCCCAGAGGGCTAGGATTGCAGGCAAGAAACACCGCAGCCTGCTCCCCTCAAATTTTTTATTTAATCTGTTGACTTCTCCCATTTTCCATCCAAACTCTTCATAGAAATGTCTCAAAAAAAAAAAAATTCAATACCCAGAGAGAAATATAACAGAATTTCTCTGCTCTCCTTCCTTTCTCTTCTGTTAAGAAAATAAGAGTTAAAGGGGAGAAAATGGGGAACTGTAGGTTTTCTCTATTTCATGCATAAAATGTAGATGTGGAGTTTTGATGTACTGGGGAGAGGGAGGAACAGGGCAAGAAATCTAGAGATGGCCAGTAGATTATCAAAGGCAATGTAACCCACAAACAACAGGGCATCCAACCCGTCTCCTTGGCCCCATGAAGTGATGCTCTGAAAGCCCTTGAGACAAAGAGAAGAGATTACAGGCTAATTTTATTCTTTCTCCTTGTGATTTTTTTTATACACACTCCTGCTCTCATCACACAAGCCATTACTGTGCTCTAAGGGGCTAGGGAACAGAATTGGTGTGAAGGGACCAGAAAAAAATTGGTGGAGAGAGTGTGGGAGAAAATGATTTGTGAGCCTCAGACTCCCTTGGGGTTTTGTTCCTTTTGTTTTTCCTCTGACTCCCATTCTCAGGGACAAGGTCCTGAAACTAATGAAATCTCATAAAACTCTGGCTTCCAGAGACCATTGGTTTATTGAATCCAATAAAGCTGCAGTTATGGGGCAGGGCACTTAAAATAGAAATCACTGAAGTTGCTCTTCACCCAGGTGCCTTGGCATGTGGCGCCATGGCATGGACCGCCAACACTGAAAAATGGTCCTCATAAAGATGTAGAGAGACAGTGATCTCGAGGAGCTCTGAAAGGGCAGGGATTTTTGTCTGTTGTTCTTCTGTTGTATCATCAGTACCTAACAGTGTCTGAGGGTGTACATAATAGGTGTACATTTTATCTACTCGATAAAAATGTGTTCTATGGCCAGGTGCAATGTCTCATGCCTATAATCCTAGCACTCTGAAAGGCCAAGGTTGGAGAATTGTTTGAGCTCAGGAGTTTGACCCCAGCCCAAGCAAGAGCAAGACTCTGTCTCTACTAAAAATAAAAAAACTAGCCAGGCATTGTGGTGAGCACAGGTAGTCCCAGCTACTCAAGAGGCTCAGGCAAGAGGATTACTTGAGCTCAGAAACTGGAGGTGTGAGCTCTGATGACATCACTGCACTCTAACCCAGGGTGACAGAGCAAGACTCTGTCTCAAAAAAAAAAAAAAAGTGTTCAATCCTATGTACTCAATTCCCGTATGAGGACAGTTGATAACCTAGTACATGGTCGGGGGTGGGGGAAGGTGAGAGAAAAGAGAGGGAAGGAGAGGGGAAGATGGGGAAAGGGGAGAACAGAGAGAGGGAAGCGGGTAGGGAGTCATGGTGTGTGACACACCTTTTGGAGGCGGGACACAATTATAAGAGGGACTTTACCTAATAAATGTAATCAATGTGACCTGGTTCTTTGTACCCTCAATGAATCCCCAATAATAAAAAAAAAAAAGAATATATTAGTAGATATGTAACAAACTCAGAAATATTAAATAAAATGTGTTCTATTTAAAAAAAAAAAAAAAGATAACAATGATGAGCCCATTCTATTTTCAGATGAATCCTAGGAACAAAAAGTCCTTCTGTGTCTACTGGAAGAGCACAGAGCAGGGCAGCCACTGGTCCAGAGACGGCTGTTTCATGATACATATGAACAAAAGTCACACCATATGCAATTCCAGTCACCTTTCCAGTTTTGCCGTCCTCATGGCCTTCACATACCAGGTACGATGTAAATGTCTCATTCCTCTAGCAGATGCTTTCTGAGCCCCTACAGGGTGATAATAAGTGCTATAAAGAAACTGAAAGAGAGCTACTGATGAGTAATTTTTGATAGAGTAGTCCAAAGGAGGCCTCTATAAGTATTAAATATTTGAGCTCAAATATGAATACAGCTGGCTCAAATTACAATTTTTTTCAACTTTATGATGGGTCTATCAGGGTGTTAAATATGTATTCAACTTTCAATGGATTTATTGGGATTGCTACCCCATCGTAAGTTGAGAAACATCTGTATTAAGAGTGGTGGCTGGATACAGTGGCTCGCACCTGTAATCCCGGCACTTTAGAAGGCTGAGGTGGGAGGATTACTTGAGGCCAGGAGTTTAAGACCAGCCTAGGCAATATAGCAAGACCCCATCTATACAAAAAAAAAATTTTTAATAGCCATGTAATGGCACATGCTTGTAGTATGAGATACTTGGGAGGCTTCTTGAGCACAGTAGTTTGAGGCTAAGCTATGAACACACCACTGCACTCCTACTTGGGCAACAGAGTGAAGATCCTAAAGCTAGGGGGGAAAAAAGTCAGCAATGCTTTCATACTCAAACATCACATTGAGTGAAAGAAGCCAAGCACAAAGGGCCATGCAGTAAACACAGTGTATTATTCCATTTATGTGAAATGTTCAGAATAAGTAAATTCATATAAATAGAAAGTAAATTAATGGTTGCCAGTGGTCAGGGGAGAAGAAATGGGGAGTGACTTCTTAATGGCCATAAGGTTTTATTTGGGGGTGATGAAAATGTTTTGCAACTAGATACAGATGATTGTTGTACAACTTCATGAATGTACAGATGACCCTCAAAGTACAACAGGATTAAATCTCAACAAACCCATCATAACATGGGAAAATCATAAGTCAAACTGTTTTCGAGGACCATCTGTACTAAATGCCATTAAATTGTACAATATAAAATGGTGAGTTTTATGTTATGGATTTTTTTTAAAGAGAACTTTATTGGTGGGTGCAGGGGCCCATGGCTATAATCTTAGCACTCTGGGAGACCAAGGCATGAGAATTGCTTGATCTCAATAATTCAAGACTAGCCTGAGCAAGAGCAAGACCCCATCTCTACTAAAAATTAAAAAAAAAAAATAGCTGCTGGGCATTATGGTGGGCACATGTAGTCCCAGCTACATTAGAGTCTGAGGCAGGAAAATCGCTTAAACCCAGGAGTACAAGGTTGCTGTGAGCTAGGCTGATGCCAGGGCACTCTAGACTGGGGTGACAGAATAGGACTCTGTCTCAAAAAAAAAGAAAATTTTCCATTATGAAAAAAAAATTCTCAAGGAAGAGGATCCTAATAAGAGATGTGCACATGCGTGTAAAGGCCCTGTGGAGAGAACAAATGTGACATGTTCCAGAAAGGTGTGTGGTCAGAGCAGAGTTGAACAAGGGGAAAGTGGAAAGAGATGAGGCTGGGGAGACAGGAGCAAGAAAGATGTGTCTAAATCCTCCTAAATCTAAAGGAATTTAGATTTCATTCTAATTGCCACAGGCAGCAATGGAGGATTTACATGGCGGGGTGCTGCATATTTATTAAGATGTCATTAGGTGATCCTTGGGGCTTCCAGGCAGAAAATGAATGTTGGTATAGCAAGAGGGGACTTGCAAAGAGATGATGGTGGCTGAGATTCAGGCAGAGCAGAAGTGGTGGGAGGTCAGAATGGACCTATATCCAAGAAGCAGGACCAGAGGACTTACTGTGATGTGAGTTGAGCATATGCCACCAAGATGTCCTGGATCACACTCTTCCTCACAGGGAGAGAGGTGGTTCCCCTCAGAATAACAGTTGGTGGAAATCTCTGACTTCTCCTCTTACATAAACAGGGAAGTGGGGAATCTAAAATAGGAGTAAAAACACAAAATTCTTCTTTCATTCATCAATACATTTGTGAAGTTCACCTACAAGTTGGGCATAGCCTTAGCTCATTCACCATCATTGTTGCATAATATTTCTTTGCATGTCTAAACTGCAATTTACTCATCTATGCTACACTTATAATCACTTATAATGGGTATCTAGGTTGTTGGCAGTCGGGGGTTATTGAAGGCAATACTCCTTTTCTGGAATGAAGCATAGAAAAGCCTCATTCCATGTGGTATCCTCCAGAGTGATGAGGTGGTATCTGACAATTAAGTTCATGAACTCATCCTAGAAAAAGTGCTACATACCTCATTGCTGAATATCACTGTGGTCACCTTCAAAGTGACCTTGGGAAGGCATGTACCTATGCCAGTGCCTACTACACCCTTCAAAGTAATTGTGGAACATTTTTCTGGAATGGTCATCAGAGCTGTTATATTACCCTTGGTGTACTGAGTGTCACCAAAATATCTCTTTTCAATATTTCCCTTATCTTCAGGTAAAAAATAATTCATTGGGGGCCAGATCAAGTGAGTAGGAAGGGTGTTCCAAAATAGTTATTTGTTTACTGCCTAAAACTTCCTCTCAGACAGTGCCAGGTGAGCCGGTACATTGTTGTGATGCAAGAGCCTTGACTTGTTGGCCAGAATTTTCAGTTAAGATTATCCTAACTTGGGTGGTTCCTGTAGCTCAGTGTGTAGGGTGCCAGCCACATGCACCAAGGCTGGCGAGTTCAAACCCAGCCAGGCCAGCTAAAATAACAACTGCAACAAAAAAATAGCTGGGTGCCTATAGTCCCAGCTACTTGGGAGGCTGAGGCAAAAGAATCACTTGAGCCCAAGAGTTTAAGTTTGTTGTAAGCTGTGATGCCATGACACTGTACCCAGGGCAACAGCTTGAGACTCTGTCTCAAAAAAATAAACAACAACAACAAAAAAAAGATATCCTGTTTCTCTATTGATGTTTATTTGATCTGCCATGCTTCTCACAGTCAGCTAACAATTTTGATGTACAATTCCACAAATTTTTACAGTTTTCGCCAGTTCTGATCATTACTGGCTGCCCTGACCTCTCTTCATCAGTGGTGCTTTCTCTCCCATCAGGAAAATGTTTAATCCATTTGTGTACTGTCGTTTTCTTCATGGCATTACCCCCATAAACTTGGACTAAAAAAGTCCCTTATTTCACTTCCACTCTTACCAACCTTAATAAGAAATTTGATGTTTGTTCATTGCCCTGATTCAAGCTCTGACAATCTCACAATGGCACACAAAAACAATAATCAACACCACTCAGCAAAACACTGCCACACACTGACATGAACACATCTGTGAGACACTGATACACCCAGGTTATGAAACCATACCAAGTTGTTTGTACAGTGCTGCCAACATAAGTGCTTGGTGGTAAGTTCACACACTTAATTGTCAGACCTCATAGACCCCCAATGGTTAAGCTAGAAAATGGTGGAGCCACCGTCACCATGGGTTCCTAAATGTCTCCGTCAGTGCACATGGAGTATGTAATAGGGACTAGAAATAAACCATCGCTGTGATAAATCACCAAGGGGAAGAAAAAACAACACTGCTCTGTCTGCCTAGCATGGGTCTCATTCTCTCACTCTTGGTGCTCATTTGTGCCAGTTTCTCTAGGACACACATTGTGTCAGGAGACCTCAAGAGCACCCCCAGATGCAATGATTTGCTTTAAAAAAAAAACACTCACAGGACTCAAAAAAGATGTTATGCTCATGGCCATGGTCATGGATATAGCAAAAGAATACAGGTGAAAATTAGCAAAGGGAAAAAGACATATGGGAAGATGTCTAGGAGAAACAAGGTACAAGTTTCCAGGTGTCATCTCCCAGTAGAATCACACAGATGGCAATGTTAATTGTCCATCTGGGACATTCACCTGAGCCTCCATGTCCAGGGTTTGTTTGGGGGGTCAGTCAAGTAGTTATGCAGTACCCACATGGCTGACTCTTAACTACTTAGACCAATGGACCCCAGCATAATAAAACTGTTCACCATAAATCACATCATTAGCATAAATTCTCTATCAAACTGGTACTGCATGGCCCATGTCCTCAGCATACAAAAACACATTTTTGAAACTTGTAGTAAAATATTCATAACATAAAATGTACCATCTTTGCCATTTTTAAGTGTAAAATTCACAATGTTAATGACATTCACATTGCCATGCAACCCATCTGCAGAACTCTTTTCATCTTGCAGAACTGAAACTCTTTGCTCCTGAAGCAACAATTTTCTATTCCCTCCCTCCCCTCACCCCAATCCCTGGCTGCTGCCATTCATTCTGCTTTTTGTTTGGGGGGAGGGGTGTGTGACATAGTCTGCTACCCTACCTATGTGTATGTCCAAACTCATTAAAATGTATATGTGAGGCCAGGCACAGTGGCTGTCTTCTGTAATCCCAGAACACTTTAGAAAGCCAAGGCAGAAGGATCTCTTGAGGCCAAGAGTTCCTGACCAGAATAGGCAATAGCAAGACCCCATCTCTACAAAAAAATTAGCCAGGTGTGGTGCACCTGTAATCAGCTCCTTGGGAGGCTGAGTGGAGGATTGTTGGAGCCGAGGATTTTGAGGCTTCAGTGAGCTATGATGATGCCACAGCATTCTTGCCCATTCTTGAGATCCTGTCTCTTTGTATATTAAGTATACCTCAATAAAGCTGAAAACAACAGTAAAAAAACAGCCTGGCAGATGTTTTCCATCTGCACTATCAATTAGGGGGCTTGATGCCTATGTTTAGGACACCCCATGCCAAGCAGGAGAAACATAATGCCAGAGCAGGAAAATATGACTGTGAAATCTTCTTTTCTGGGTCCCAGGAAGACGATTCAGTGCTGACCACCATCACCTACGTGGGGCTGAGCCTCTCTCTGCTGTGCCTCCTCTTGGCAGCCCTCACCTTCCTCCTGTGCAAGCCCATCCAGAACACCAGCACCTCCCTGCACCTGCAGCTCTCCATCTGCCTCTTCCTGGCCCACCTCCTTTTCCTCACAGCAATTGACCAAACTGAATCCAAGGTACTGACAGCATAGGAGGAACCAACCCCCTCCCTGGATACCTTGGATGGGATACCTTGGGTCCGTAGAGGAGAAAAACGTAATTTTTCTTCTACCCTTTCAAAGTGCTTCACTGGGACCCTGTAACAAAAGAGAGATTAACAAGGGAAAAACAAACAGAAGTTTATTAACATGGGTGTATATTTCATTATATACAGAGGAGATGCTCAAGGAATAAGTAATTTGGAAAGAGGCAGTTTAGAACACCAGCATCTTTGACAAAGAACAGTAAATTTTTGGAGCAGTAATAAGACAAAGGAAAAGGATCAAAAGGATCTGGGATCTCTAGTGGCAGCACACTGTGAGAAGACAAGAATATGGGAAACTAATTAAAAAAAAAAAAAGACTTCTTAGTAAAGTCTGTTCTATAGATTCCTCTGGTGCTGGCTCCTGGCTGGTAAGAACCTCAAGTTGTCTTCAGTAATCAACTTCTTTCCTTGCTGATAGACAGGAGAAGAGGAACATCTTTGTAGATTTATATGTCCTGGAATACTATTCAGCCTTTTAAAAAAGGAAAGAAAGCCTTTCATTCGTGGCAACATGGAGGACATTATGTTTAATAAATAAAACAGACACAATAGACAAATAATATGCCATCAAACTTTGTGTGTAGAACCTAACTAAAGTAGACAGACTTCAGGTGTGGTGGTTCACATCTGTAGTCCCAGCACTTTGGGAGGCCAAGACGTGAGGACTGCTTAAGGCCAGGAGTTCAAGACCAGCCTGAACAACATAGCAAATCTTCAAAAACTAAACAAATTAGCAATGTAGTGGTGCACGTCTATAGTCCCAGCTACTCAGGAGGCTGAGGCAGGAGGATCATTTGAGCCCAGGAATTCAAGGCAGCAGTGGGCTATCATTGCTGCCACCACACTCCAGCCTAGTAACAGAGCAAGACCCTGTGTCTAAATAAATAAATAAATATTAATGCCCTTGATCTAAAATGTCAGGTGCTCTGAACCCAATGCCAATGTCAAGGAGAGGTCCTAGGCCACACTCCCCCTTGACAACCTCTCCTGGTGACTCTCTCCTCCCCCCAGGTGCTGTGCGCCATCATCGCAGGCGCCCTACACTATCTCTACCTGGCCTCCTTCACCTGGATGCTGCTGGAGGGCCTGCACCTCTTCCTCACCGCACGGAACCTGACGGTGGTCAACTACTCAAACATGAACAGACTCATGAAGTGGCTCATGTTCCCAGTCGGCTACGGTATCCCCGCTGTGATTGTAGCCGTTTCCGTGGCATCCAGGCCTCACCTTTATGGAACCCCTGATCGGTGAGCTTGACTCTCACCTTGTGCCCATGGCAGTTTCCTAAGAAAGCTTTTGGGTGGCAGCATTCATGATAAGGATGAGGATATACATATCTAATTCACTCTATGTTCCCCTTTATATCAGCTCTAACCTCTGTCCTGGTGAGGCAGGATGAGAGTTCCAAAGATTCTGAAAGGAGGTAGTTTTAGGGAGTTAGGTTCCAGCTTCATTCTTCCCGTGATTTGGAATTTTGATTTCTGAAACCTCAGTTCCCCTTATTAGTGAAATAAAGGAACAGTTGTATCCATTGCCTCAACCTCACAATACTAGTGTGAAAATTCAACAGGACTGTGCTCGTAAAATGTTTAACATACACTGGGTTAGGTGGCTTACTCTTACAATCCTAGCACTCTGGGAGGCTGAGGCAGGTGGACTTGAGCTCAGGAATTCAAGACCAGCCTGATCTCACAAGAATGATACCTCATAGCTACAAAAAATTTAAAAATTATCCAGACATGGGTGATCACACCTGTAGTCCCAGCTACTTGAGAAGCTGAGGCAAGAGCACTTGAGCCCCGGAGTTGAGGTTGAGGTGAGCTATGATGACACCACCACACTCCAGCCCAAAGGAGAGTGAGACCCTGTCTCCAAAAAAATGTTTAACATTGAGCTCTAGCACATTATAGTGAGAAATAAATGCCATAATTGTCATCAGCTGACTTTCACCAGGAGTTGGAAATGTTCTCTGGTGAGAAAAGTGCCGCTTCGTGCTCTTGTCTTGTGCTTCCTCCTATCCCGCTTTTGTCTCTTTTCCTTGTTCCCAGATGCTGGCTCCACCTTGATCAGGGATTCATCTGGGGTTTCCTTGGCCCGGTCTGTGCCATTTTCTGTGTGAGTGAGTACAATCCCCTGACGGTCCTAACCAAGAAGAGCCACCAGAAGTGCTGGGTACAAGATAGGACAAGGGGTGTGCATTTCCTCCATTGTATAATTTGATTTTTCCACCTGCTTCCAATTCAATCCATGTGTAGGGAGATAGATCTTCTGTGTGCAATTTAAAGTGGACACCATACATTATTTTAATTTGCACTCTGTCTTGTCTGTGTTGTTCCTGCAGGTGAATTTAGTATTTTTCCTCTCAGTCCTTTGGATTTTGAAAAGGAAACTTTCATCCCTCAATAGTGAAGTGTCAACCATCCAGAATACGAGGTAGAATGTGACAAATGGTTCTTCCTACCCCTGTTCTACCCAGCCCTACTCATTCCTCCTACATACCCCCCCACACACACACACATACATCCCAAACCTACACTCCAGAGACCAGCAAAGCCAGAATCATCATCCATTGTCACAATTAATGAGAACCTATATTTGCTACACTATAGTCTACCAATGGAAAAGAAGCCATACTCTGTAAAATAATTTATAGAGGTTTATTCTAAGCCAAAATTGAGGACCATGACCCAGAGCCACACCCAAGAAGGTTTGAGCAACTGCACTCATGGTGGTGGGGTTACAGTTCAGTTTTATATATTTTAGGGAGATAGGAATTACCAGTAAAGCCATTAATCTGTATGTGAAAGGTATACATTGGTTTGGTCCAAAAAGTTGGGTCATCTCAAAGCCAAGGCCCACAGGTTATAGGTGGATTTAAAGATTCTTTGACTCACATTTGGATGAAAGAGTTAGTCTCTGTCTAATAGACCAGGAGTCAGTAAAAAGGAATGCTGAGTTAAGATAAGTGTCTGTCGATCAGAGGCAAACTATAAGACATATGCCCAGACTCAAGTGGTTTGTTATATAAAGAACCTGCAGCTCAGCACCTGTATCTCAAGCGGCTAAGGCACCAGCCACATACACCAGAGCTGGCGAGTTCAAATCCAGCCCAAGCCTGCCAAACAACAATGACAACTACAACCAAAATATAGCTGGGTGCTGTGGCAGGTGCCTGTAAGTCCCAGCTACTCAGGAGGCTGAGGCAAGAGAATCACTTAAGCCCAGGAGTTAGAGGTTGCTGTGAGCTGTGATGCCATAGCACTCTACCCAGGGCAACAGCTTGAGGCTCTGTCTCCAAAAAAAAACCTGCAAATATGTCTTGCATAGGCTGAGGCCTGTGAGTGAGTCACAAAGGACATCTCTAAGAAGGGGAGGGGAGCACAGTGAGGCATGTCTGATCTCCTTTCTCATGGTAGCAACTCAGTTTTAGGGATGCCCTTGGCCAAGAGGGGGTCCAGTCAGTCAGTCACTGGGTGGGGAGCCTTAAGATTTCATTTTAGGCCACATGTGGTGCCTCACACCTGTATTCCCAGCACTTTGGGAGACCAAGGCAGGAGGATATTTGTGGCAAGGAGTTCAAGACAAGATCAGCCTGGGCAACAAAATGCGAATCTGCCTTTATAAAAAAAAAATTATACAAGCATGGTTGTACACACCAGTAGTCACAGCTGCTCATGAGGCTGAGGAAGGAGGATCCCTTGAACCCAGGAGTCTGGGGCTGCAGTGAGCTATGATTGTACCACTGCACTACAGCCTAAGCAATACAGCAAGGCTTTATGTCAAAAAAACAAATCTATATAGCAACTCCGTGAACTGTGACGATGATAAAGATGAGGAAACTGAGAAGATAAAGTAACCTTCCCAAGGTCACAGTTAGTTGGGCTTAAATTTAAACCCAGATAGTCTAGCTTCAGAATCCTTTCTTTAACAGATACACTACACAGATGTCTATGTCCATTATTAGCTTTGTAACATCATCATCTCTGACTCTTCTTAGGATGTTGACACTTAAAGCAACAGCTCAGCTCTTCATCCTGGGCTGCACATGGTGTCTGGGCATCTTTCAGGTGGGTCCAGCTGCCCAGGTGATGGCCTACTTCTTCACCATCATCAATAGCCTTCAGGGTTTCTTCATCTTCCTGGTCTACTGCCTCCTCAGTCAGCAGGTAAACAATGACCTCTCTCTTTGTTGTTTCAAACTTAAGAAAAATTTGGGAGCACATAGTTGAATGGGCATTTAAGTCTGCATTCTTTAAATGTTCACATGAGCATGTGAGGCATGTGTAAACATTACTTATGTTTTCTCTACTTTAAGATGGCAATTGATCTATACACAGTGGCTCATACCTGTAATCCTACAGTGGGAGGCCCAGGCAGGAGGAGCACTTGAGCTCAGGAGTTAAAGAGCAGTCTGAACAAGAGTGAGCTCTTGTCTCTACTAAAAGTAGAAAAATTAGCCAGGCATAGTGGTGCACACCTGTAGTCCTAGCTACTCGGGAGTCTGAGAAAGGAGGTTGCCTTAAGCCCAGAAGTTGGAGGTTGCAGGGAGCTATGATGATGTCACTGCACTCTAGCCTGGGTGACAGAGCAAAAACCCTGTCTCAAAAAAAAATAAAATAAAATAAAAAAGATGCCATTGAAGTGGTTACCTTAGAGCTTGGACTAGAGGGTAGATTGGAAAGGGCCGTGAAGAAAACTTCTGAAATGTTTACATGTCCTATATGTGGATCTGGATGGTAGGTTATACAAGTGGTAACATGTTAAAATTCATTCAATTGTACACTTAAGGTCAGTACACTTGGAATACTTGGCATATCTTATAACTTAATTCAATTTATAATAATGAAATTTACTGGCTGGGTACAGTGGCTCACACTTGTAATCCTAGCATTCTGGGAGGCTGAAGCAGGTGGATTGTTTGAGCTTATGAGGTCAAGACCAGACCAAACAAGAGCAAAACCCTGTCTCTACTAAAAAGAAAAAAAAAAAACTAGCAGAGTATCATGGTGGGCACCTGTAGTCCCAGCTACTCAGGAGGCTGAGGAAAGATGATTTCTTGAGCCCAAGAGACTGAGGTTACTGTGAGCTATGATTATGCCATGACACACTACTCAGGGTGACAGAGTAAAACTTTATCTCAAAAATTAATTAAATTTACTATGTTGCACTTAATTGAATTAGCTGTGCTTTACTATGTTTAAAAGTGTGGTATTGATTATAAGATACATCATTTATTAATAGCTTTCAGAAAGTAAATAATTGCTATATCCAAAAATGTCACATTTTTTCTTCAGCTTTCCTACTTGTGATAGTCAGCTAATGCTATGTAACAAACAACCTCAAAAATCTCTGTGGTTTAAATGTAAATGCTTTTCTCATTCTTAGATTTGCAGGTTAGTTGGAGTTCAGCGGATCTTAGCTGGGTTCAGCATGAGTTGGCTCTAGGATGCAAAGCAGGTTCAGGTTTGCTCTTTGTGACTCATTTTGGGGCTTAGGCAGAGGGGAGAGCATTTTCTCATTATATAATTTCATTGTAGAACCCTTAAAATATATTAGTATGGAGACTATAGTACCACACTATAGTCTATATGGAGTCTATATAGTACCACACTATAGTCTATGGAGACTATAGTACCACATGACTATAGTCATGTTAAGCAGTTTGCATTATTACTATTATTATATTATTATTTTGAGACGCAGTCTTTTTCTCCTCTCCAGGCTGGAGTGCATCGGAGTCATCATAGGTCCCTGCAATCTCTAACTCTTTGCCTCAAGCAATCTTTCTGCCTCAGCCTCCCAAAGTGCTGAAATACTTTTCTCATAATAATATCAAAATCACAAATAGGCCAGCCCTACTGGGAAAGGTCATTTTAAACTTATGATTCTGTTAGCATCACCTCCACTAATATCCCATTGGTCAAAGCAAGTCATATGACCAAGACTTACTTGCAAAGGAAAGGAACACTCCACCCTCCATGAGGCTAAGACATGGTACAATACTACAGAGTGTTGAATAATGGAGATCAATAATGAAATGTAGGCCAGACTTTGTAGCTCATACCTGAAATTCCAGCACTTTGGGAGGCTGAGGCAGGAAGATTGCTTGAGGCCAAGGGTTAAAGGTTGCAGTGACCTATGAGGACTCCACTGCACTCCAGCCTGGGCAAGAGAAAAATACTCTGTCTCAAAATAATAGTAATGATGATGATGCAAGAAGCTTAACATGAATTCTTAAACACATTTGACTATGGTACTATAGTCTCCATACTAATATATTTTAAGAGTTCTACAATGAAATTACATAATGAGATAATATTTCCAGCATTTATTATGGACATTTTCAAACACTTAAAAAAATGTTAAAGAGTTATACTGTGGTCAACTATATACCAATCACCTGATTCTAAAACTAACATTATACAATATTTGCTTTGTTAAGTATTTATCCTTCTATCCACCCATTCATCCATCTCATAATAAGCAAGTGTAGATTACATGTATAGCCAAAGAAAACTGTAGGCAACCCCGCAGTGTATGCATACACCTGAATAGGCACAAGGAAAAAGACTTATACCTACTCTATTCTTAGTTCATCTCAGTTCTAAGGCATCTTATAGCTCCAGTTTTTAAATACATATAGTTTTTATTCAAGATGGCTACTAAATTCAAGCCAACTCAATTGTCAGCAGCTGAACCAAAGAAATAGTGATGTGTGTCCAACACTAGAGAAATAGTGGCTGCTTTGAACTCACAGAAAAAGCCTTCAAGGTGGTCATTTACTAAGAGGTGTTTAGGGATTAAAGCAGACTGCATGCTGGCTCTAACATTGAATCCCAAGACAAGATCAACTCAACTGTATACTATTGACCCATGTTTTACCTAAATTTAGTTAAATTATCCTTTATCTATAGAACAAGATACAGTCTGAAACCCCAATGAAGCTCAGATCCACTGGTCCAGGTCAGAAGGTATAAGGGCTATATAAATAGCCCACCAACTAGAAGAAATATAAAATCACACAAGCTTTTTACTTATACTTCTCGAATATCATAAAGAGGATACATAGTTCAGGGTCCATTGTGGAGTTCAGCCACTAAGATTTGGTGTTTGTTTGTTACTGTCACAATACCTATCCTGACTGTTACACAAAAGGACAAAAGGTATCCTGACTCTTTCTTTCTTTCCTGGTTCATGGGCTGCTTCTTCTTCTCCTTCTCCTTCTCCCTCTCCCTCTCCCTCTCTCTCTCCCCCTCCCTCCCTTCCTCCCCCACCTTCCCTTACTCTTTTCCTCACTCTCACTCTGAATACTGTTGTCCAAAGAATCAAACTTGGAAAGAAAAGAAAGGAAGAAAGAACAGAGGATAGGGGAAAGAAAGAAACTGAGATAACAGTGCAGACATTCTTTAGAGAGCAAAGGATAACCACAGGCTTGGAAAGCATTCAAATGTTATTATTCGTTCAGGCACAAGAATATTTTATGACAAGAAGGATATTCAAAATACATTAGTGAAAAAGCAAGTTTCAAAACATTACTCCAGAGGGTTCCATTATGTCTGTTTATATAATGTGTATAAATATTTATAGCTTCATTGGATGTAGAGTCAAATTACCAAAAAAAAAAGAGAGAGAGAGAGAGGGAATTTACTGCTTATGTCATTGTCCTGTACTCATTTACAGGTGGGTATGGGTGTTTATAGCATATCAGAGTGGATCTCAACTAGTAACAGTATTGTTCCCTCTTGAGAATGGTTTGCAATGTCTGGGGACATATTTGATTGTCACAACAGGGGTGGGAATGCAGAGAAGCTGGTAAACATCCTACAGTGCATAGAACAGCCTCCCACCACAAACCCAAGATGTCAATAGTGCCAAGGTTGGGAAACCTTGGTGAAGCCGTCGCTGGCAGTGGCCCTCTCATATCCCTTCGGCATTTATCTCTACATTCCTGGGGTTGCTTATTGCAAATACCTATGACTCTGTGCCTGGGGGTTTCTTACTGCCCATGAGACATACCTGGCACAGGGCAAGCTCATGATACCAGAGATTAATAGCCTTTGAGAGCAACCATGAACCAATGACTGATGGAAGCTGGTGAATAAATGCCCCAGTTCGCCCATCCCTGAGGTAGGATGACTCTGAGGTGTGTCCTATGCTGTCCTCCAGAGCACCCCAATGGGACTGAGCCTTGGTCGGCCACAATGGAAACGTCCTTGACTATGCATCCTTTAATAGCTATCTTCTCTTCCCTGTATCACTTTTTACCACCTTACTTGTGTTCCTTGGGATCACCCATCAAATAAATTTCTTATACTTGAACCCTTGTCTCAGGGTCTGCTTCTGGGGTACCCAAACCAAGACACAGAGAAGAATGCCAGCAAACCATTATCAGTGATTTTCACTGGATTGAGGAATTGTGTGTAGCATCTATTTTCCTCCTTTTGCATATGAATATTTTATAAATTTTCCACAACAGCAATATACTCTGTAATATGGGGATTTTTTATTATAGCAAAATACACATAACATAAAATTTACCACTTTAACCTTTTTTGGGAGGGAGACAGAGCCTTGCTCTATTGCTTCAGCTGAAATGCAGTGGCACATCACAGCCCACTACAACCTCAAACTCCTGAGCTCAGGCAATCCTCCTGCCTCAGACTCCTGAGTACCTGTGACTATAGGCACGTTCCAACAACCCAGCTAATTTTTCTATTTTTTGTAGATACAGGGTCTAACCATATTTCTCAGACTGGGCTTAAACTCCTGACCTCAAGTGATTCTCCCACTTCAGCCTCCCAAAGTGCTAGGATTACAGGCATAAGCCACCACACCCAGCCCATTTTAACCACCTTTAAGCATACAGTTCAGTAACATTACATTCACAGTGTTGTACAATCATTCCCACTGTCTATATATAGAATTTTTTCTGTCATCCCAAACTGAAACTCTGTCTCCATTAAACAATTACTTTCCATTTCTCCCCCCGGCAACCACCATTTTACTTTCGGTCTCAATTAATTTGACTGTTCAAGGTACTTCATATAAGTGGGTTCATACAATATTTGTCCTTTTGTGTCTGGTGAACTTCACTTAGCATAAGTTCCTCCAGGTTTATCCATGTTGTAGCATGTGTCAAAATGTCCTTCCTTTTTAAGGTTGAATAATATTTCATTGTATTGGATATGCCACATTTTGCAGGAAAGGTCTTTTAATAACACATCTCTGTCTTCTTCCTGACTCACTGACTTTTCTCTGCTTCACTAATGTTAGTACAAAACATCCTCATGTTTTCTTTGATGTTCCAGGTCCAAAAACAATACCACAAGTGGTTTAGAGAGATCATGAAATTAAAATCTGAGTCTGAGACACATACGCTTTCCAGCAAGGTCAGCCCTGACTCAAAACCCACTGAGGTAAGAGAACACGCAACTTATTTCTAATGTTTCACCACCACCCCCTCCTTGACACCTTGAACTTCCTCTCCTTGTCATAATACAGACTGCCTCTCCTGCAGGATATGAGGAAGAGTCCTTTTCCTAACAACCTGCTTTGAGTTCCCCATTCTTGTTATATTGTTCCTCAGCAACACTTCCCCTCACTAACAATGCTTAAGCTGCTTTCTGTTTACATTCTTGTTGTGCAAAGAGGTATGGCTACAACATATCGCCACCATCACTATAATCTAATGTTAAATCTCACTGGGGGAAATTGACAAGCATAAGCATAACAGAGCGATCATCATCCCTTGAACTCTCACTGTCTTGTAGAGAGGTGGTCATGAGCCTAGCAGAGTTGGTACACCCCATGGAAAGGGCTCTAGGTGAAGGACTCCATCTCAGCTTCTCTGCATAATTATAAAATAAGAGGGCAAGAAATAATAGGATCTTCCTTGGTGAAGAAATCCTATTAGAAAAAGAACACCTCTGGAAATTGGTTGCTGATATTGTTCTTTCTTTGAGCCAACTCTGGCTCAGCACACCAAGGAATGAGCTTCCAGCACTAATGAGCTTCCATACTCTGGAAATTGGTTGCTGATATTCTTCTGCTCTTTCCTTGAGCTAACTCTGGCTCAGTGCACCAAGGAATGAGCTTCCAGCACTATGTGAGACTTGTCTCCATATGTGTCCCTTACTTGTCTTTTTGGAGAAATGACAGCAAATACTTCTAAGAAGATATCTCCCTGGTTCACCAAGATGGACCCCTAAGTTCTAAATCCATAACAACTTTTCATATGTAATTTAGTTTCACACCTCCCTGTGCACACCCACCATATCCATACACCAAAAATCCTTAGAATAGGTTGTTTTGTTTTTAGAGACAGAGTCTCACTCTATTGCCCTCAGTAGAGTGCTGTGGCATCACAGCTCACAGCAACCTTCAGCTCCTGGGCTTAGGCATTTCTCTTGCCTCAGCCTCCCAAGTAGCTGGGACTACAGGCACCCACCACAATGCTCAGATATTTTTTTGTTGCAGTTTGGCTGGGCCAGCTTAGAACCCACTACCCTCAGTATATGGGGTAAGCACCCTACTCACTGAGCCACAGGTGCCACCCAGAATAGGTTGTTTTTAAGTTTAACTAAATTGAGAATTTTCTGATATTCTGATAAATCATCTTTAACATAACTTGAGATACTATGTGACTTTCCTTAGCATTGGAAATATCAAGGTCACTAAAGAAACATCTTTAATTTCAAGGCCCAGTATGGCAACTCACACCTATTATCCCAGCACTTTGGGAGGCTGAGGCAGGAGGACCACCTGAGGCCAAGAGTTCAAGACCAGCCTGGGAAACACAGCAAGACCTCATCTTGGAAGGAATGAATGAAGAAAGGGAGGGAAAAGAGAGAGAGAGGGAGGGAAAAACATTTATCTTTAGTTTCTTTGGGGAGGGAAGTGAATTAATTCTAAATATTTCCAAAAAGACCAAGAGAAAAATGGAACCAAGAAAAGTCTTAGGGCACGTCGGGTGATCAAAAATTGATTGATATTAGGCTTAATCATTCTTAGCAACAGTAAAGTTGCTACAGATATAAACTGGTTACTATTACCTGTGTAAGGTTTTCCAGATAATCCAAAATAATTCCCAAAGCTTCATCACTCCAGTTACTGGTTTAGTGGCATCCCAAAATGAAATAAGGAAACCTTTTATTATTATTGTCATTTAATATTGTGGAAATTGAATAAGATGAGTGTGTGTCTGAAAAGGGAAAATATAAAAACTAAGAATCCCTCTTCAAGAAATGCATTAGTTTTAATTGAAAGAATCTCTTTTGTTTTTCAAGGCATGAGATTTGAGTAAAAAGTGAGTGAAACTCTTTCTCTTTCTCTATGGACAAATTTGATGTTAGGTTATCTTTTCTGCTCCTGTTCCTTAGACACTTTATAAAATTGGCAGACCAGTTGCGTAGACAGGCAACATCGTTTATGGGAAAAGTCATGCTTGGCTGGTAAATTGTATCTGGACAGGGAGTTCTGCGAGTGCACCATAAACAGCAGGAGGGAAAGCATAATTTTGCATTTCCTGCATACAATGAATGTGATAACAAGGGCAGGATCTCCTAATCTCATGGGCTGCTTCAGAGGATATTGGTTCCCCTGTGGAGCATTGGGCAGCTAAACCAAGCTGTAATTTTTGGGGGGCAAAGAGAGTATTCATTGAGTTCTACAATGTGTCAGGCACTATGCTAGGCAATTAGCATAAAAAGGAAGAAAATCAACAAGAGTTTAGCCTTTCTTCATACCCAAAACCAACATCCAGAGGCCTAAAATCCTGATGTGGCCTATACTGTGTCTGAAAATTTATCAAAAAGAAGAATTTTTCATCCTAGATTTTTGAGAAGTCCTCTAAAAAAGTCCTTACTAAAGAAGCTAAAGAAGAGTACACCTGTCCTAGGATTCTAAAATGTTAGGAGATTGAGCCATCCTTGCCTGGTGGCTGGAGCTGGCTATAACTCACTCATGCTCTTTTTCTGTGTTCTTCATGTTTGTTTGTTTTCTTTTATCCTTAAATACACCTTTAATCTAAATATCTTTTATGTGGGGGATATTTTTCCAGGACAAGTGAAGGAAAAATTTTAAAACTAGAACGTTCAGCTCCATAAAGAAAAGTCATTGTCCGTGGATCTCACTGGCAGCATGAATGAAGAATGAAGCTGAGGACAAGGGAACTCATTGTACATAATCCCTAGAGGAGAAATACTTAATCTTCACTCCCTGAAGTGTTTTTTTGTGTATAACAGGCTTTCATAAATGTGTTGAATCAGATTTCTTTTCACTATGATGTGTTCAGCCAATGATTGTCCCTGAATACCCAAATTGAGACCATTACAAATATTCCCTAGACTTTTTAGAAATGAGGAAACCCCTATCCTCAAGTTCTTAGTCTCATTTGTCCAGAACTTACTCTTTAAACTCATTCAGTACTTCAAACCATCTGCTTCCCACTGGTTTTACCTCCTTGCTTATCCAGGCTAAGTCTCAGGACCAACTATATGTGAAATGATTCTCCCTTACACATTAAACACCTTTGTAACTGGGAGCAGTGGCTCACACCTGTAATCCAGCACTTTGGGAGGCTGAGATGGGAGGATGGCTTGAGGCCAAGAGTTTGTGAACAGGCTGGACGACATAGCAAGACCTGAAAAACCATGTTTGCATCCTTATTCTGATTCCACTTGGGACAATCTCAATCCAGAACTAATGTAACAGTGGCAGAGATTGTGGATTGTATACTCAGCATCCATCACCATCACCACCACACTATCCTCATTAACAAAGCATTGATTGTTTTCAAATTTAGGACAACAATGAGTCTGAGCCCCAGTCATCTGTTAAGATTGGTTTAAGCCAGCAGTTCTCAACTTGGAGTGATCTTGTTCTCCCACACTCTAGTGACATTTGGTAATATCTGGAGGCATTACATTTTTGTTCATAGCAAAGCCAAGGGTAGTGCTCCTAGCACCTAGTGGGTAGAGGTCAGGAATTCTGCTAAACATACCACAATGCACAAGGCAGCTCATGCCAGCAAAGAATTAACCACCTCCAAATGTCAGTAGTGCTGAAGTTGAGAAACCCTGATCTAACCCTTAAATTCCTAATCTCACTTTCAAATATCCACTCCCTGTTTCTTCTCCCCATTACTGCCCATTGTGTCTCCATTCTTCCACAAGAGCAGAGGGGTCCCTCCTCTTCACTAAGCCCTTTCTCTGTGCTTAGAATCCCACCCCTCTTGGCTCTTTGCAGAACTCTCTCCATCAATTATATCCTCTGTCTCTCAATTCTTCCCCAGTGGCATTTAAATGCACCACAGAAGGATCAGCAAACTTTTTGTATAAAGGACCAGATAAGTATTTAAGTATTTTAGACTTTCTGAATAAAACACA